GATGAGTGGTGTGTGTGATGAGTGGTGTGTGATGAGTGGTGTGTGAGATGAGTGGTGTGTGAGATGAGTAGCGGGAGGAGCGGGAGAAGCGAAGCGGAGCGGGAGAAGCGGGATGAGACATAGAAAAGAAGAACCCCACACTAAGATGTGGGGAAAAATGGGAAGGGAGAAAGAGGCTTCAAGAGATTTCCTATATATATATAGAGATCCACAGAGTATAGAGTATACAGATGATGAGGTTCGTATCTTCTCTATGGTTTCTCGAGGTTTCTTATGGTTTCTCCACCACGAGCTCCGCCAGGAGCTCGGCACCCCCCGGCACCAAAAACGCCCAGCCACGTAGGCATCGTATTGCAGCTCGTGAGCCTCGGTGGGTCGGATTGAGCAAAGAACCGAAGTCGAAAAAACTGCGAAAGTAAGAATGAACAAAGGAGCACTTGCTGGGAACACTTGCTGGGAAAAGGAAGTATGGAGACCCCGTGAACGGACGGACGCTGTTTGAAAGGATTTCATGCCAAGACTGTCCAACAATGGACGAAGATCGTGCACACATGCCATATGCACCAGCATGACCAGGATGTTCAGGTTGTTTGCAGATTCTATTCGTTGTGGGCCTGGGCCTTCACTTGCTGAGCCCAGGCACCGCATAATGAAGGGCTGTCCAGCCACGCACATCTCGGATCTCCAAAGAGTCGCCTGTCCAGCTGAGTCTTCCAAAGAGAAGAAGGAAGGCGAGGGCAGCTGAGTCTTAAGACCCGGGGTCCTTTTCTTTGACATGACTACTTTAACGTCTCAAATGCTACAGACATCCCTTTTTGGAGGTCCTCGCTTTGTCACAGCTTTTAGTACAGCTTGCCAACAGAAATGCATGATGTTAAGCATTGGATGATATTGGATGTATCCACATAACATATGAAGTCCTTCCATGAAAGCACAATGAGTCTTCACAGAATTCGTTTGTTTCAATGAGCTTGCAATGTTTGTGTAAAATTGCTAATCATCAACCAACAACATCGAACCCTTCGCAGCGTTTTTGGACCAAGGACTTCGCCGTTGCCGTCGCAACTCCAAAGGTCACATGAAGCGACGGAGCGGCGGAATACACCCAGACATACCCAGACACGACCTGCTTCATAGATCCGCTTGATGCCTCGCAAATGCGGAAACTCTCTCAGCTACATAACAACTCAAAGTCTGTAGTAGCCAGGCTTTGACATCTCTGTTTACAGCCCTGGTAGAAGTTTTGCAAGCTCGTGGTCCACCAAAATGCATCATGTAGAGGCATGTAGAGGCAAGGCAAAAAAAACACTGAGTACTACCACAATCTCTAAAGCATGCTGGGCGCGCCCTCGACCGATCCATACTGAGCGGCAGCCATGAGCCGGGTGACCTCCGTGAATTGCGGGTCCTCTGCACCCACCAGGGTAAGAATACCGGGTAAGAAATGATCTCCGGTATCTGCATCATTTGCTATGCAACCTAGGATTCAACAGGTACCAGTTGTGTTCTTCCACCCAAAATCCCCGAAGCTTCTCCAAGAACCAAAAGATGCAAAGGGTCCTCTAGGCCCACCTCTCCTGTCAAACACATTTGTTATTGACCGAGAAGTGACCCTTTTCCGTGACAGTGTGACGACCCTGTCTCTAATCAAACGGCACTGAATGATTGGTTGATGCCTCACCCAAAAGGACCCATAAGGATTTACAGTAGATTCGATTACGCATCACAAGCATTCTTAAGCAGCGGAGAATCGTGCTTCATCAAAAAAGGATGCAAATGAGCCAACCATGTATCTCGATAAATCAACCAATGTCATCAAATCCTTGGGATGTCAAGCCATGCTTCAAATAGTCAACCCTGTCAAAGAGCTAACTGCAGCAAGTACACCAAGAAAGTCTGAGAGCTTTCAATCTCACCCACAGCATTCTCTCCACACCCTTCGCCACAAAGCGTCAAGTCATGTCCCTCTGAAACGAAGAACTTACCACTAGGAGTCCGAAACTGAGATCATCCACAAGCCAGAGATCCTTCTGACGCAACGACGACACCACTGGGTAGAAACAATCTAAAACATCTGCAAAAACCTCAACCTGAAATCTGAATACCCAAATCGCCCTGAAAAATCCATGCTCATGAATTCCTCACTCGTCTCCACATCTCTCCACAAAAGAACACCGCACGCATCCGCCACTCCACTCGTTGGAACGTTGGAAGTTTCCAGGAGCCCCCCACTCCACTTTCTCCAGTGGTGGACCGACCTCGGAGAAGATCCCATCCGCCGGTGGTCGTTCGTCCCGAGTCGAAGCCGCGGACCGAGACAGGTCTGTCACTCGATCCACGGAGTCGATCCGGGTCGGAAATCCGGCGGAACACGGAGATGGAGATCCAAACCAGTCGCATCAGGATGCCATCAGTCTGATCCATCAGCCGCTGAAACAAAGACAGAAGATCAACCACTGAAATTGGACGTGTTTTTGGGGCCAAGCGCTCCAAATTGCTACGTCCCGAAAATGAACGCTCCCCCCCCGCTTCTGCCCTTTGATCAAGAAACATTTGTCCAACCGCACCAACGAACACACCTGAAAGGAGCCAAGTGAAGCCACGTGAAGTGATGTGAATGCGACTGAAATGTCCACCACGATCCAAGACAGCGTCCATAACACCCAGGGCAGGCAGGGCACGTTGACCAGCTTGGAGCGGCTTTTCGCGGGTCAAAAACCGTTCACGCGACTCGATTGATTTTTCGTGCACGGGAAACCCAGGTGAACGACCGAGCCATGGAGTCGCTATAAGATGCTGAAATGAAATGATGTCACATGGTTGAAATTCATGAAACATCGTGAAACTAATATGAATATATGTGTAGTATATAATGAAGCTCCGATCTGCACCGGGGCCCCCAACTTTGGCCAACCATCAGCGGCTTCTTTGAGCCTGAAAGCAAGCGGGCCGGTCGTCTTCACCCGTCTTGGTTTCGAACACGAACGACGTCGTTTTCCGGAACTTCCAGCGCATGTCCGGCTTTCCCCGCGCCGTTGTTCCGCGCCGTTTTTCCTCGTTTTTCATGCGGCCTTTGCTCCTCTGGTTCGGCCGCACCACCAACTCTTCTGTGAAACCCTGCGCAAAGAGCTGGCAAATGAAACAGGTCACGAGTTCGCAAATCACCAACCGTAGGTTTTGCAGCATATTTTCGCATATATTTTTCATTGTGACTCCTTGAGGAAAGGTAGTCCTATTCTAGTTTGATTTGAAACAGAGTCTGGCGCACTACTGTACGTGTTCATCACAAAGGAGACCCATCATCACCATTCCGATTTGGAACAGGCCACCACGCAAAGAACGTGAAACCATAAAATCCTCGGAAAAAAATCGGTGTTCACATCGAACATCGGTATCTCCCACTCATCCACCTATCCCGCACAAATAACCCAACACATAGACGACACCCAGCCCACACCCACAACAAATGCAAATCAACACACACGAAAATTCACAGGCGAATATCAACTCCTGAAACACGGAATCATCGATTTACTAGGTCAAGTGTGGCCGACTCTGCTTAGTTAGATTGAATTGCCCAGTGCCACCAATTCTGGCGCAATGCGCCGCCAATTGCGGTGGAGCACTCGGCTGCACCGCCGTTTCACCAATGCTCCGCTCCGGGTGCAGCTGATCGTTGGATCGTCTTTCGGCCAGTGTCGTTGTCCCACCTCTCCAGCAAATTCGTCGGGCCTCGGAGCGGTGGGGTGTCGGCCGGACGCGGCCGGAAGGAAAGGCCCGAACGCTATAGAAAACCCATCATCGAAAATACGCTAGTCCTTTTTGTTCCTTTCTAGTCCCTTAGACTGACCTACCTTATGGGTTATCTTGTCCTTCTTTTGCGCTGCATTGTGGACCTTGCGGGCTTTGGTGACACCTTCATGATGGCCACATTGACTTGTCATCCCACCTGCTGTGAGTCATCCCAAAAATCACCAGACAAGCTATTGCAAGGCGACTTAAACTATTCCAATTACATCCCTGGTGGTTGCATCCGTGATCTTCCGTATTCCCTCCACGCGAACTGACGAATAATCTCCTACGGTGCTACCACGCGTTGACTCTGGCGCAAGCTTCATCAGTTGCAACTGGAGCCGCTCAACTGGAAGGCACTCAACTGGAACAGTTCCCGAAACATAGGCAAACCGCAGCTTGTGGTGTCTTCGCTTCAAGTGCGGGCCAACTGAAAGCTTCGCTGTTAGGGAAAAATACTCCCCTGCAAATTACTATGGAACCTGAAAGCCACTGGGTTGTAGAAGAAACTAGTCTTCCAAAGGCAAGTTCATTTCAGGTTCCATGTTAACCTGCAGGGGAGTATGTTTAAAAGCAGCTTCGAGAAAACACCGGTCATCCAGAGTAGCAGGGATGTAGTTTTCAACATTATACTTCCATGTCCACCTGTTTCCACCTTTTTCCACTTGCCACCAAGGGGCTCCCCAAACTCCATCCTCGGAAGAAACACCGCGCGGCGAGGCACATCTAACCAACGTGCATACGCGGCGACCGTGTTTTGCACCATTCCAAACCATCCCTCTTAAGACGCACCGTCCCTCTTGCCTCCACAATCAACTCCACGTCATGTAAATTCTGTCTAGCTATCTTGAACTGAGATTTTGTTGTTCCTTTGCATTTCTTATCAACTGTTCTGTGTTAGTTGCCTCCCTTCAGATTCCTGTGGCTTCCAAAATGACTGTCTGTGCTTTACAAAGCTCGTACGCGGTGCCATCATAAGCCCTGGAAAGGAGACGAGCAAACAGCAAACGACAAGCAGGCTTTCTTCTTACACTCCTTGTGATTCCCTTTGAAGGTTGAAATTCCTGGTTGAACCCTTTTGATGTTTTGCTTCTTGTCGATGTCCTTTTAACCTTTACAGTAATTCTTTGGGCTTCCTTTTCTCTTCGCTTTAATTCCTTTGATTTCCTTTGGCTCACTCCACCTTAAACGTCCTCAGCATTCAATCTAGAGTGTATCTTAATCTGATTGCACACTTGATGTAACACTGCAGTCAGAAATTTTCTGGTTAAGGTATCATTCTGCGTTGCCAAGTTCTGTAGGATGTTTTGATATGTTTCGGTTTGATCCCAAACAGTGACCCCCGCCCAGCCCGCCCTCTTTTGGATAAGGACCATAGTTACTTCGGGAGCTTTGATACCTGGTTCATTCATATTCTCTGCCTGAATCTTTCTATTGCCTGCAACTGGATCAGCTGCCGATCAGGTGCCATTAGAGTGAATACAAGCTTAGCCCGCGCTTGGGTCTTGATGAGAGAATTCAGACAGTTTCCAATGTGTGTGTGTGCGTGCATCATTGTAGGAGTGCTAAATCATTGATGACAACACCGTTTTCAACATAGGCTTCATGCTGACAAAGTAATAAGTAAGAAGAACCAACAATGAGTAAGAAGAAACCGCGCTACCTACATACAATTATATAAAGCAAAGGAGATTGTGTGATATCATTGTTGATATTGAGTTTCTTCTACTTCTTGAAACCGTCTTTCATCGTCTTTCGAGAGCCTGAATCGGATTTCTCGAACAGCACGGGCAGCATAAAGAGACCAATCAGAACAAGACGCCCAACAAGGAACTGAGAGGACAAAGAGAGGACAAAAGCTTCTTCCCTAAAAGCTTCTTCCCTTGTTCCCTGGCTAAGACCCAGTGTCACTGTTTGTCGGCACAAAAAGGTGTTTGAAAAGGAAAGAATAACAGACACTACTGATAGAGTGATGCCATTTCCTTGTGAGTTCGGCACATGTTCACCTTGAGACCATTTCAACGACAGGTGCGTCATGTTCGAGGGTTGGCACCCTTGGTTCTTTCGCAACTAACTCATCTGAGCGTCATCCCCACACAGCCTGCCGTCACGCCCTTCTCCAACTGCGCAGGGCCCAGCCCTGCAGCTTCAGGCAAAAAGCAAGGACATCTGTCCAATCCAATCTAACAGCAATGGGCCTCCAACCTAGAAGCGATGGCCTCCAACCTAATAGCCATAGCCTTCAATCGTCACATGTCCAATGATCTGGCGTAGCATGGTGGACTGGAAGGTTCCCTCCAGGTGTTCACCCATATTCATTGCCGTGATGAACGCCGTCGACTCGTTCGGACCGAGCCTCTCCACATCACAGCTGGTGACAACTGTCCGGCGGCTCGGGCCGAACAGGTGGGGTCCAAGTGAAGGGGATGACCCAAAGACCCAAAGAGGGGCGCCCTTCTCCTTAGCCTTCTATGAAATGGCACAACAAATGGATATCCCATCAACATCCATCAAATATCAGTGTGATCCAAGAAAAGAACTAACTAGCACCTATCAGTCTTCCAAGTATAGAATTCAGTCCAAAAATGACATGAATCTCTGATGTAGATGGAGCACCCGAGAGCGCCTTGTCCCATGATCCGTGTCCGGGCAATCAAGACGACCAGTCCACTGCTCCAGCGCGCGACCCGGTGGCAATACTTTCCTCTGAATATGTCTGACATCTCTAGGTTTGTTTAGAAGTGGATGTGCTTTTGGAAATCGGTTGTTGAGTTGAGCTCACGCAGCACGGTGTGCACGTGCTTCGGCAGTTGGCTTCATGGACATGCTTGCGCACGGTGACTTCCTGGAGCAAGCAAGCGGCATCTCCTAAGTGGGTCGGTACAGCCGACGTCGTCGCGGTACCGACGCCGGTCAATGTGCATTCTCAATCTTTCAAGCAAGCTGAGAAGGAGCCCTCGAACTTGGAGGGGCCACATCAAACATCGCTGGTTTCGGAGGATTCTGCGACTCTACGACCATTGAAAATCCCGGAAACATTGCCAGCCTTCACGCCAGTCTTGGCGCAGGCAACAGAATCGCCTGCGGGAATAGGTCAGAGTCAGAGGGGTTATTGGCCGGGAGGCATGTCACAAATCACATGTTTGTTTCGATCAAGTTGTTGCTTGGATCCAAGAAAATGATACATCGTCTATGCCGATATGTGCAGTGGTCCTGCAAAAAGAGTCCTGCGTCCTGCGTGCAACCGTGCGAGATGCCTAACTCTTGCTTGGCTCTCTCTGTGGAAGCGCCGTTGGCATATGCCTTGCTGCATCACTGATTCATCAGGCTGGTCAATTGACCACCCAAGCGTAGGAATATACAAATATATATATATATATACGTCTTATCAGGCAAGTGCATGTCTTCCCTGAGTGCGTCAAACCCATGATCATCACTCAAGATAAAGAGATGCGATGAGATGCGTATATACCGCATACTCAGGATCTTGGAAAACATCAGGACCGCCAAGTCTCAGGAGGGTTCCTTGGCAAACACCTACTCAGTACCCTTCGGTGCAAACTCCCATCGATTCCAGGTGATCTGCTGCAACATGTTTCTGGGGGACAAATGGAAGCAGCATCTTCGGAGAGGAAACCATCGCTGTTGGATGTGGAATGGATGCAACATGCAACATGTACAGAAAATGAATGATGAAAACAAGGGAAGGTCCAGCTTCCAAAAGGAAGGAAACCCTGAAGGAGCATCAATCACAACAACTCAGGAACTTGGATTTCATTACTCCGCTGGGAAAATTGATGAGGTGACTTTTTTTATTGCGCCAGGTTTAGATATCAGGGGCATTCAGGTGTGTTGCGCCATCTATGCGCCCCGTGGCTAAAAAAACAGGAAGATTCTGCATGATTGGTGCGCTATTTTGCAGAAAATAGCGGAGATTGGGACCGCTCCATCTATTGCCCCACCGCAAAAGGACATCAAAAGGAAATGAATAAGTTCAAGAGGCAAGAGGAAATCAAGAAGAAACATGAGGAAATCACTGTTGGTACCGGGCCACACATTTTTTGCTCAAAGGTCTCTTCTTCACATTATAGCCAGATTGCAGCCGGCAGGCCAAATGTACAGAACTTGGCCATTGGGCCATCTATAGGCCCCAAACGTTTTTTGGGAAATAGGGAAAACTAGTATCCGCACAGACACCCCGCAGAATTTTAATTTTCTGCAATCCAAAGACCAGTTGCGCCATCTATGACGGCCAAATAGCGAGAACAAGGAGTTCTGCCGCGGCTGTTCCCGCTATTTATTTGTTTGAGTTGCGCCAACAACTTTCTGACCGGTGTAATCAAAGATTTGTTTCACTACTTGGCCACCCACAACTCCTGAGTTAGAAGACCTCTCCTATCACTTCAGGGCTTCGCATGTGCAACTCCGTTGTGCTGCTAACACTTCGTGAACCCAGCTCCGTCGTTATGCTAACCTCTTCTTTGAAGGCTTTAGGGTTTTGGGGGTTGTCCTGCAAACTGATTGTGCGGAGAAAATGCGCGAAAAACACAACGAACAAAATAATTGGTCTTGTTCAATCTTGTTCTGGTGGAAGCCAAGCCTGGTCATTCAACGGCTGAACCTGGGCTCCGGCCGTCTGTACAAGGCCGACTTGAAGGTCCTTCCAACATGTGTGCGCATGACCCAACGTCGAAAATATCGTCGCTCTTCCAAACGACCAACGCAACGACGACCAACACGACGAAACGAACGAAACACCGAGCCAAACGGTTGGGTGTCTCAACTTCAGGACACCGTGTTGTCTCCGCCATCGCCAAAAGACTATCACTGAAAGTGAAAACCGTGACAGTGTCACCGCGGAGAAAAAGGTGACTAGCACCAGCTCGTAAGGACTAGCAACGTAAGGTTGCCAGGCTCAAAAAGGTTACTAGTAAGGTTACTTACTACCTGTTTAGCCGAGAAAGGGCCTCAGCACGAGCTGCAGTCAATAAGGACTTCACAAACCTTGGTGGCGAAGTCAATCTCAAGGTTTACCAATGTAAATCCCCAAGTCTTTTGATGACATGTTGCAAAACACTCTGTTGAATCCAGTTTGCCATCAAGCTGGTAAATCTCTATTTCCCAAATCAGTTCCCGTTAAACTACTTAGTGTTTTTTGACCTTAGAGGCTCCAGATGCGGGCCAGGAACGATGCCAGAAGCAATGCTATGCGGTCACCATCCAAAAGGCAAAATCCACCCTGCGAGGCAACGCCGCGTTTAGGGCGACAACAGATCAAACAATTGAAACATAAAAAACGGGGTCATCTATGGACATGTTTTTTCTGCATCTCAAACGCAGCTCAACCAAAAAGGGTGCGAGATGGCATGTAGGCTAGTGCATTGGTCTTCCCATGTCCGTCGAGCTGGCTGTGTTGCTGTGCCTCCTCCTGTTGGACTTCTACCCAGATCTCTACATCCAGCACGCCGTGGAGACACGTCGAAGTACTAAACCTTTTGAACCACCACGCCGTGGCCCCCAAGGGAAAAATACACCAGCATAGACCCAGATAGCTAGGCAGAATCCCGCAACCTGTTGACATGCGACTGGCTGGAGCAAGAATGTAGGCAGCCTGCACAGCCAACTTACCACACCTCCACAGCGCGCACAACCAGCTGACACCAGCACCGGTGCGCTTTGCCAGCTGGCAACACCGGCAGCGGCACCAGCACCCAACCAGCGCCGCCGCCCGTCTTAAACGCACGCTCAGCCAGCTCACAGCACCAGCACCCAGGACCACAACACCAGCACCAGTACCGACATCCTTTCGAAAGCCCGCGCAGCCAACTCATTCTTATTTGCAGTAAGAGTCCAATAGCTATCCCTACTTGGAGAATAACAACGTATGATCTTGCGCGTATAAGTCTATGCGCACAAAAGTATGCGCGCAAACAGCAAAGCCCGTAAGTGTCATTGGCCCAAGGCCAAGCAGTATCCAGCGCCACTATTGAATTTGTAGCATGCTTGAAGCAACGATCTGTAGAAAGATAGGGCCGTATGATCTTGCGCGTATAAGTTTATGCACACGCGCGCAAACGGCAAAGCCCGTACGCTCCACTCGCCCAAGGCCAAGCGGTATCCAGCACGACTATTGTGTGTGTAGCATGCTGAAACATCCTGAAGCAATGGTCGGTTGAGAGCCTGGCGTTGCGCATAGAACATAAAACGTGCAAAAGTATGCGCGCAAACAGTGCAGCCCTTGACACAGCTGTCGGCCAAAACAGAATATGAAGAGTGCGGCACCCGGCACCGGCACCCGGCACCCTGTCCACCACACGCACGGCCAGCACCCAGCACCGGTGTCTCCACCACCGGCACCAGGCACCCAGCAGCCAGCACCGGCACCATGTCTCCACTCTCCACCACGTGCACAGCCAGCTCACAGCACCAGCACCGGCACCCGGCACCCTGTCTCCACCACGCGCACAGCCAGCTCACAGCACCAGCACCGGCAACCTGTCTCGAAAGCGCGCACAGGCAGCTCATATCTTCGCTATCTGGGAAACTACTGAGTGCTCGATGTGCAAAAGACAGCCAGCTCCTTCCTTCGTCTTGAACTGATATTGCTCGACCCCGATATTGCACCCATCGCACCTGAGAGAAGAAGTAAACGACCTCAACGCGTGGGAAATGGATCTCAGCAAGCCAACGTATGCCCATCTGCTTGATGTTTGAAAGGCCTCAAAGCCAGTCTTCCTGCTTGCGCTGCGTGACTGTCATCAAATGCTAAATGGCTAAGCAATGGTACCAAGCAATAATTGGTTGATTGAACCATTGTTGACCCAGGTCAAATCACCAGGTCTGAGCTGGGCTGCTCGTCTGATGCATCGATGGTGGTGCCATACATGGTGCTCGTCCTCTCCCACGCAGCTGATCGGGCACCGGACCCGGTCAGCATCACCATCGAAGCTGACCCATCGGCCACAGGAGAGGTCAGCCTCCCAGCCACGAGCCGAGCCGTGCCGTTGCTAAGTGACTGAGCTACTAGTGATGGCATCCAAGCTAATAGCGATGGCCTCCAAGCTAGTAGCTTCTTGTTCCTAGTGGATACTTTGTGACACTTCTGAAATTCAGATTTCAACAGAAATGCTCACAGTGGCATATCTATGAAGCGGTCGATCTGCCATGGGAATGGCATGTGGCAACTGGGTTGGCGGTGGAAGCACCACAGCCCATCCTAGAATGTTCCTCACATTTAAAGAGTTCCAACATAGACCAGAATTGGCAGCCATGGAGGCGGGAAAGCCTTAGAGGGCTCCAGCACTTCTGGTTGCAAAGAACATGAGTCACCCGCTGTGATTCAAAAGAAGGATACCTGTTCTCTTCCAAGTAGCCTAAACATCGGTTCGAAGGTCTAGAAATACGTGTCTTCAAGAGTGCAAGCTCAACTCATCCCCCATTCAGTGCCGATCCTTTTCGGGTGCCATCTGTTTGGTTTTCACGAAGTCAGCACCACATCCTGCATGACCAAGAGGCGGCTAGAGTGAGGATTGGGTGAAGGGAGCTTGGCCAGGGTTTTGACATCCGTGGAAACAACAGGTATGTCAGCCTTGCATTTGACACTGCCTTTCTGTGGATTCTGTATCCTTCTTTACCAGTGTCACAAACTGAATGAACTTGGGCAGGCTGTCAATTTCCACAACAGAGCTAACGCCAACTACAATCG